CGTTTTCCCAGGTTATAAAGTACCAGGAAAAACATCAAAAGAGGCTCTTCACTCACTACGAGCAAAGGGTGATATTTTTTTATTATTTCTTTGCCTTAAAATTGTATTTTTCTATCAGTCTGCAGCATTTAACTCATCTACCACACTGGCTGTCTAGCTCTGTAGACAACAGTAACTGAAACAGATGCTTATGCCACCTAGTGTACCAAACTTATCAATTAATCACTTGCAGAATGAAAAGCTAGAGGAGGCAGTAGTGAGGATGAAGCAAGAAATGCAGCAGATGACAAAGTAAGTTAGATTAGATTTGATATAAGCTGCAGTTTGTGAAAAGATGGAAAGGTTTCTTATTTATTTTCCAATTAACAGGAAGCTGAATGAACAGAGTGCCTACATTGCTAAGCTGGAAAATGCACTAAAGCTTCAGAGGTACAACACTGAATAGATAGTTAACCCAATGTGTAATTGTCAGTTTCTGCCTAGTAAAGCCAGTTATTGCTCCCCTAATTCTTATTTTATGTTTTATTTTGATTAACAAATGTCTGGCTAAATTCCCTGTGCTGTAGATTTGAATACCATTTTTTTAGGGTTTTGCATCAATAATAATGATGTTAAGGTAAATAAAATTTAAAAAAATTGTAAATAATGATTAGTGGAGGCAGTTAAAAGCCTGTGATTAAAGACTTTTACAACCAACTGGTTGTTCTACCGCACCGTTCACTAGGTGTCACTCCTGGCACATCTATGGTTCAACTATAGTGATGCTTTAGTGTTTCCATGGGCATGTTGAAATGAATTCAGCAATAAAAATACAGACTTATAAGTCTGTGTAGAATAATCTATAAAAGTACCACAGTTACATTCATCTCTTATGTCTTAATCCACTCTGATTTCATGCAGAAACGCCATCATCTGCTATCTTAGTGTAGGTTTCAGTCCAGCAGGTGCGCTTTGTGTAAGTGATTAACATTATTTATTACTCCTGTTACTCAGTACCAAAGCTTCATCTGGGCACCATATGAGCCATAGTTCCCAAACCCCACATGGACATAAACCAGGTAAACTATCTCTTATTGTATTGGCAACTGTAATGATCTGTTTTTTGATGGCGCCTGACAAACTACGCAGACATACTGTGTACCATTAACAATTTTTATTACTAATTCTGTCCTATGCAAGAATTGTATATGTGCACTCACTGTCCACTTCACAGATATACCTGTTCAACTGCTTGTTAACATTAATATCTAGTCAGCTAGTCATGTAGCAGCAATTCAGTGCATTTAGCCATGTACACATGGACGGGACAACCTGATGTTCAAATTGAGCATCAGAAGGTGGAAGAAAATTGATTTAAATGACTTTGAACGTGGCGTGGTTGTTGGTGTCAGATGGGTAAAGTGAGTGGGAGTTCTCTATTGCTGATATCTGAGGTCAGAGGATAATGCCAGACTGCTGTGAGCTGATAGGAAGGCAGCAAAAGAACACATCTCTGAATGGATAACACATTTGACCTTAAACACCACACTCCACTCCTGTCAGTTAAGAATAGGAGGGTGAGTTTACAGCTCCCATGGGCTCACCAAAACTGGACAATACTAGTGGTAGGGGTCAAAATTTCTCATAAATAAGCAGGGATCTACCCTTCCACGTGTCAACAGTTCAGGCTGGCGGTGGTGTGATGGTCCGGGGGGGATTTCTTGGGACAATTTGAACAGAATACAATGCCTTTTATTGTCACTATACACATGTACAGTGAGATATAAAGTGTCTTCTATTCAGTGCAGACACGTGGGAAAAGAAAGTGGGGTGAGGTACACAGTTCTGTAGCACTATGTACATATGAACAGTATCCACAAGTAAGAACTCTGCAAATATACAAATTGGGGGAAAAATAGTGTTATATATTTACAGTGTGGGTTATAGCTTGTAAATTAAGTATTGCACAGAGGTGATGGTAGTTGTGTAGTCTGTGTCTAGAGGGAAGTCTTTGGATTGGGAGTGGAACTGTGTTGTCAGTGCATGAGTGAGTTCAGGGTGGTGGCTTAATGCCAATTGTTTAAACACCACAGTCTGCCTGAGTATTGTTGATATTATTGATGTCCAGCACAATAATGTGCCATGCACAAAACTCAAACTGATTTCTTTAACATGAGTTGACTGTAAATTGGCTCCACAATCACCAGATCTCAATCCAGCAGTGGCCTCTTGAATGTAATGGAATAAGAGAGTTTCACGGATCTGCAGATAACAAATCTACAACAACTGTGTGATGTCATCATTTCATTATGAATCAAAATCTCTTAGGAATGTGTCCAGCACCCTGTTGAATGTGTGTTATGAAGAATTAAGGCATTTCTGAAGGCAAAAGAGGATCCAATCATTAACAGCATGGTGTACCTAACAAAGTGACTTTTTTAGTTATTATACAACACATGGTTTGTTTATTTTATACACTTTGTTAATGCTAGAGTCAATGAAGCAGATAAAACATCTTTTATTATAATTAATTATAATAAAAGATTATATTTATTTAAATCTATGAGTGCTTGTTGCAAAAAAACCAT